TTGCATATCTATTGGTCAACAGCGAAGAATCGTTTCAATTTTATATTTTAATATTTAACTAACTTTGTATTTTTAACATCTAACTTTATATTTTAATATTTAATTTTTATGTATTGATAAAGACTGTAGTGCAGTCGAAACGTTTACAATTTATATCGATTCTGTAACGGAATGTTAATTTAATGATTTAACTATTAATAAAAAAATTTTTTACATCTTATTTATTTGCTCGTTTAGTTGGCCTACTATATATGATTGTTTAATTTTGTTTAAAAAATTAAATATTAATACAATTTGTAAATACTCAATCTTACAAATGTTTATTCAATTTGCGCCTTTCCAAATATGCAAATTAAAAGTATTTTCACAAAGACAAAGGAATACATTAAAATGACATTTATATTACGTTATTCAAAATAAATTTTTGATTCTTTACAAAAGTACGGAAAATTAAATAAAAATATTAAATTATTAACGATGAATAACATCTAATTATTAGTATGTAAAAGCGGTATTGTTATATAACAATCAGTCTCATTCATATATTTTAATATTAAACATTTTTGTTTTATTGCATTGAGTGGAACCGTTATAATTTCTGAATTAGTTGCACTTGATATTAGAAATATACCAAGTTTTTCAGAAGCACATGGCACAGTAAAAAAAGATTTCGGATTTAGAAAACGTTTTGCGCGAAAAAATAATATATCTTCCTCTTCAATAATATCCAAAATAAAAACTACAGAATTATCATTAAGCAAAGCACATTTATCATTCTCAGTTATTGCAATCTTAAAGTTTTTATATTGAAAATGAGAAATTTTTGCTTTATTTGTATATACAACAACCGGATAATTTACGATAGGGTATTGTATAATTGGTTGCTGTAATTCTTCAAATATGCGATTTGAAAGTTCTTCTAAGGGTTTCCCACATTGATGCAATTTCTTTTTAATTTTATGCATATTATTTTCGTATTTAAAGCAACTAAAATTATCAAGACAACCAAAGTTTTTTACGTCATCAGCAATATGTAGAAGGTTATGAACATTATGTGATAGATATTGTTTACCATAAATAGTACTGTAATTGGATACAAAATGTAATAGTAAAGAATGTGCATAAGCAAGACCTGTCTCATTTGTACGTATTTGTGGATTAGCCATTATTCTTATTGCAACACTAAGAGAAAGAAAGTGATTATACAAAATTGGAGGAATGGTTGACTGCAAAATTACTATTCCAGTATACAACAAAAATTGACGCAATTCCGTGGCTTTCCATTTATCAATATCAACTAAAGTTCTAGGCTTTCTAGCAAATTCAGATGGAACGCTTTGTTTAAAATTTATTAAATATTGTGAAATTGAATCAATACTTTCTGCATTTAATCTATTTTCTTTATTTCCTTTAATCCATAATTGCAACAACCGTTTCATAACACCTAAGCAAACAAGGTGCATATAGTCAAGCGGAATTTGCGAAACCATTCCGATGGAAAGCTTTTCCAATACAGAATCGCCTGTGTGATGTTCTATTTGAATTCGATTCTTAAACGAGTCATCTGTACGTAAAATGTTATTAATTTCAGGAAAAATTACTTTATTATTTACGAAATCGCCTTCTTGCATACATTTGGAACACGAAAAATATCCTGTGTGGCCTTTTGTGTACGTTATAAATGATTTGGCTGGAGCATCGCAAAGTATTGCATTAATATTCACTTTATATTTCTTGTTATTAACAATTATGCCATTTTCAAAAAGAAACAAAAATACATTAACAAAACTACCAAGAAAATCATTCGCATCGCTCGGTTTACACATACCATGATATATACCAATTACGAATGGCAATGTATGAATACCGATATCTTCAATAGATGCCATGATAGGCCAGAATTGACTATTAGAACTTTTCGAAATAGGTAAGCCGTCTATATTTATATTTATTTTAATTTTATTTGTGTTAATAAACTGGGAGTAATTTTTTATAGATCGTTCTAGAGCAGAAGTAAGGCCAAAATGTGCATAACGACCATTACCCATATGTTTTATGTTTACGGATGCGTTACGTGGTGTATTAACTAAAACTCTAACATCACTAGGCAATTCAGTATGGCCATGCTTTCTTAATATTCTCAATAATTCATTAGCAGTATTGTGAGGAACGTTACGTTCTATAATTAATTTCTGTAAATCTTCTCGTAAGCTTAGCTCATGGTTGCACTTATTATTATCTATCAATGTGGGTATATTATTTGTCTCATCAAAAGTACATATATTATTGTTCTCAAGTTGAAAATCTATTGATAATTCATCAAATTGGTTTGTTTCGTCGAATAATGTACTATTCGTGCAAAAATTTTCTGAATTTGTGTTAATATTAACCGCTTCTTCTACTACATTAGGTTCTAAATTTGATAAAGTTAAATATGAAGTCGAATTTTGTTGATTATGTAATAAAATCGAATCTTCATTACGTAAATCTCGATTAATAATCTGATTCCTTCGTCTTTGTGATAAATATCTAATATCTTTAGGCATGATAAATAAAGTTATACCTCAACAAATATTGTTAAAATATACGCGCGTTACACACCTCAATATTAAATCTGAAAAGAATCTTAAAATAAAAATATATTTTAATTAAATAAAAATATATATATATATAAAATTGAATAAAATAATAAAATAAATACTTCATAAATGTTAAAGAAATATTAATGACATTAATGTTAAATAAAACGTTTTTTAATAAAAAAAACAATCAATTATTTTATAATTTTTAAGATATTTGAAAATGAGTTTCTTCTTAAATATTTTGTTGATACTGGAGGAGTATTTTCACAAACAGTAACAATCGTATTCAAAAATATTATTTCATTGCAAAAACTATTGATGCAAACCCAAACTATGTACAAGAAGTACTTTACATTTATTAAAATTAAAAAGTAATAAGTTTGATAAAAAATCATGTGTTCTATCCAATAAGTATATGTACATAGCATGCAGAATGCATAGGTGATAAAAATAATATATACTATTAAATTATATATTATTAAATTATACTATTAAATTATATAATGTAAACATTCAAAATAATGTAAAATAGCAAAGTATTGTAATTGTAAATAAATAGCAATTAATGTATATAATATTAATATTTGAATAAAAGAAATATATAATTAAATAACTCGATTTAAAATAAAATAATATATAATAAAATAACTTATATTGATTAATATTGATAAACATTTATATCAATAAAAAAGATGCAATTGAATAAAAACTAATAACTTTTTAGGTTTATTTAACTACATATTTTCGTTACTAGATGCAAATGTTCATCGTTAGACATAACCACTTCATAAGTATAATTATTACAGATATTTGTATCAATTACTTACCACTTTTGATGAAACAGCAGTTTTTAATGAATTGTAACACAGGGAACAGCTTCGAAGCCAAATTAAATCAAACTCGCTAACCAACCAATTTAGGCAAGCGTTGATTTCTTTCTATCAATGTTCTGCAAAGAGCCTGGAGTATGCTGTAAAACAAGATATTTAAAATACATTAATATCGACACATATAATATCATTTCAATACATTAAATATCATGTTCATTATAAATAGCAATAAACATTACACTAATTAGATAATATGCAATTAAACAGAGTTATAAGAACCGATAACTAGCTTTTATGAATCTGTTTCACTGCATATTTTCTTTATTAAAAATTATCGAAATTTGCACATAATTATAGTTTATAATTTAAATGAATAAAAAGCTAATTCATCCACCTTAAAATGTAACAAAATAGGATATATATGAATAATTTATATTGGCACGTGGAGCATAACCTATTTTTTGGACAACAGTTTTGTAAAATTTAGTACAAATATTAATAAAAAAGAATATTATAAATCAATTTACTTTCATTGTGTAAAAAATCCATATTTAGTATATATTAGATGATTATTTATAAAGACAGAAACGATTACCTTTGATATAAATTAGCCGCCAAAATTCCGTTGATGAACAGCAAACCGGAAAGAGCTTTCTTCTCAGCAACACATACGTACACACACAGGACACGGAAATACTTGTTGCGCGGCAAAATTTAAAAGTGATGCTTATTACAAAATATGTTATATAACATTTAAATAATGCTAACGCAACGCTTGTTATATAACATGTTATATTTTTATTTTATTATTGTTATACTGTTATAACTAGAAAATACCAAAAAAATATAACAGTTTTAAAATACAGTTAAATTGTTGTTACAAAAGAAAATTATGTAACATCAAAATTAATAATTTATAACTTCTGTTATATTACGTGTTACTTGTAGATTATATAATAATTATAATCTGTGTTTGCTGGGTTATTTATATATTTAAAAAATTTAGTTTACTATTTTTAAACCGTAATATGTTACAAGAAATAAGAGTGTGTATTAATTTTCTTATTACTTTTTGCTCAATCATCTCTGCTTATGCAGATTAAAATGGAATGATTGAAATTCGCGATTCGCGAACAATTTTAAAGATCAAATTTCTAAAATTAAGGTACAGGTGTTTAGATAATGTCGATTTTTTTATTTTTGTTACATACTTTTATTTTTTAAGTACTTTAAAGTGTCTACAAATTTGTAATGGCTTATGTTTGCATCATCACATAGCCAGAAGTGTTGGAAAAAATAGTGAAGTAAAAATGTATAAAATTGTGCCGGAATTGATATTCGTGGTTATAAACGGCATATTTTCATTTTTCTAGATGTTTTCAGTGGTTTAAAAATTCAAAATTGTTTGTGACTATATATTATGGCATAGTAAAGTGTGTCTATATATAATAAAATGTGCAAACAAAAAGTATGAAAAATCCTGACTGTATCCCCTTACAAATTAAAATTAAATTCCTGAATTCAATTCTATTAGTAACGTAATGCACTACCTTAATTTAGTTCTATTAATAATGCACTACTAACGTACCAAATACGCTAGACAGCATCGGAGGTGGTGTCATTCTATGACTTTGGGAATTATCGCTGAAGTCACTCGTGTAATCATTTTGGCTCTTCTTTTTTACTTTCCTTTTGTTTCGGCCAGTTTCTAGCACTGATATATCTGTATCAGTTTTTGTTTTTCTTATTGCGAAATCTATGGCAGTCTGGTATTCATCTGTCAATCAAAATTATTTATATATATATATATATATATATATACATATATGAAACCTCAGAAAACTCAGATAAACAAAATGGCTCAGGACTTTAATTTCGACATATAGCGAATTCGATCGGGTGCACTAGTGCACACTGAGTGTATATATAAAGGTTTATCACACACAAGTTCACAATGACACAAATAATTAAAAAAGGAAAATAATTAATAGTAAGAGCTATTATTATCATTATTCATATTGAACAACAATAATAATAGCGAATAATCTCCCAAAGTATTGCAGGTAATCACCCGGACACCCTGTATATACATATTATATATATTTGTACACAGCATTAATATATATATATATATATGATTGGTCGATCTTAATTATGTGTTGTATTATTTTATGTACACTAAATATATATGAGAATTGTAGGTAAAAATTAAATCATATGAAGATGCATATGTTACTGTTATCAGAATTTAATAACAATATAATGGCTACCATATTTGAACGATACTTTTAGCGCATGTTTCCAAAAAAGTAACTCATAAAGTAACTGTTAAAATAGTTACTAGTTACTAAAAAAATGTAACTAAGTTACAGTTACAGTTACAGATGGAGAAAAGTAACGAAGTTAAGTTATAGTTACCGAAAAAAGGTAACTGTAACTGTAACTTCGTTACAAGTAACTCGTTACTTCCCAACCCTGTAAATAAGTTTGTTACTTACCTCATGTAACTGATGCTGATTTCCCTCAGCAACAGAAGTTTGAGTGTGTGACGTCATTGATTTTTTTTTCTAACAATTGTTAGAAAAAAAATCAATTAATAAGAAATATACGCTTATCCGGGCGTTAATTATATATGCAGGAAGCGTCCTTGCGGGAGGGCAATATAACCCAGGAATCCAACCCAAGTTAGCCAGATTTTGGATTCGATCACGTCAAAAACACTATTATTCTTGAGAACTTTATTACTGCACAAATCAATCGGCACAATCAATTATACGAAAAGACACGTTCGCACACTACGCGGTAAATCCCCTCGACTGCTCGGCACAAACAAGCACATCGCGCGTTGTCGCAACTCAAGCGACCAATCATAACGCGCGAAACAAAAAGCGAATCGGTGAGTGGCAACCGCTTGCAACGCGCGACATTTGCCGCGTTCATCAATATGTCCCTTATTTACTTTCTGATACGCGCGGAGGCCGCCAGCGGTCGCAATCGAACAATTATAATAATAGGAGTAATATTTTGAGACTTATAGCGTTTTCGATTGGGAAAAAGTTAGTGCGCACCAGTGCGCACTCAGTTCATACGAACACTGGACAAGTTCCATGGGTTGCACTGAATAGTGCAGGTGAAAAAGAACACGCCGAAATTTTCAGTGCCACTTGAGTTGACTAGATTCCGGGAAGAACGAAAAAGTAACCTCGACATCTTGTGTTCAGTTAAGTAATGATTTTTATTATATGTAATTAAATATAGAAGATGATCAAGAATATCACGTATGACAAATATAAAAATTATTATTATTCAGTATAAAAATGCTATTACATTAAGTACATTAATTATATTTTAAAAAAGGGTATAGGTTCGATGTTTATATAAAAAGATATAACACTTACGGTGTCATTATCTATTTTTTCACACATTCTACATAATTTACAGTTTTTGGAATTATTCTTCTAGTTCGAAGAGTTGTAATTATTTCTTCTTGCTCGCTTGAACTAGAAGAAGATTCCAAAAATGTCTCCAAAATATTAAAGAGAGCCAAATCCGAATTGCTCATTATGTCGAATTTTCGTTCAAAAGAATGCCCTACTGCTTGCATGCATCCAGTGCACTGAACTGGCACCGTCAAAATATCTCGTGCCACTTAGTGCGCACTGAGTGCGCACTATGCGAGTGTTGTGCGTTCAAACGAACACGCAACACTAGCCAAGTGCGCATTGGCACTACCAATCGAACACGCGCCTGACATTCAGTGCAGCCAGTGCACCCCAATCGAAAACGCTATTATTTGTTGTAAAATTGCAATTTGTTAAAAAGTTATGATTATTTATCAACGATAAATTGCGAGTTCACTTTACGAGGCTGCAAAATTAAATCTTTTAATAATGTCGCATTTATAACGTTAATGCGGAGTAGTGAAATGTTTTTCAAAGTTTACGTTTTGAATGAAACGTTTCAAGTACGTAGCGAAATGAATGTTTTAGAAACATAGTAAATGCTACCATTGAAGTAACGTTTATAAAGTTGCAAAGAAAACGTTTCATACGAAATGTTACTTGAACGTTACAAAACGTTTCATTTGTGACGTTCCGAATTGTCAAATTTAATGTGGAAAAGCAACGTTTCTAGTACGTTCTACGAACTGACACTAATAAAACGTTAATTTGAGACGTTTACGGAACCTTTTATTACCGTTGCATGTAAACGTTTCAAATTTGCTTAATTATAGTCGAAATGTGACGTTACCAGAAAGTTTAGCGGGCGTCGCTGCTAATTAAAGTTTGCGTTTCCATAATTTCATCGTCATCATCAATGTTATCATCCTCTTGCTCTTTCGTGTCTTTGTCCTGCTCTCCATCGCGTTCACCGCTGGCGTGTACGTCTTTGCGTAAACGTTTTCTCGCAGCACGAACAAACTTGAGATAACGCTGAAGTACCTCCTTATACATTTTCCATTTTTCGTCCTCGCTGACTTGAGGTGTGAGATTCAGAATACGCCACATCTCTGCATCGAGCCGTGACAAAGGAGTTCCCGGGGTCCGTACGGAATTATTATTATCATTTTCCACATTTGATATCCCGGTAATTTTATTCGATGAATTATCGGCCGGCGCGTTAGAGGAAATTTCCGGTTGTCGCTGCAGTCTTTCGAGATTTTCCGACAAAATTAAAACCATTTTTTTTTGCTCTTTCCATTATTGAATCGTAAATATTTTATCTTTTTCACATTTGGTGCAACAAATATACACAGAATAGCGCCCCTTTTTTAATCTTCAATGATCCGGGATTGTTGCGTACGCGCGGCATGAACCGTGGTCCGACACGAAGCTGCGACGAACGAGCATGCTCGGCCTTTTTAGGGCCGCGTCTCGCGCGCCGCCTCTCAGATCCTTCACCTTTTTTTTTGGAAAGAAATCATAGGAATCTTATGAGAGATGTGATGGATGGACAATAGGATAATTATTGAGTGGACTGTATCTTAATAGGGTGATCGCGCACCCATGTGTGCGCTGAAATTGATGATTTACGCAGGAGGCCGAATTGAAAAGGAGTCTTGAGTTTGATGAACAAAAACAGATCAATTTATTATATCACACGTCTGAAAGTCACCTGGACTTGACACAAACAAACCAAAGAAAAAAAAAACTTCGATATGAGAATCGAAAGCGTTTGCTGTACGCGCAGCAAATTTACATTTGACAATTGATCACTTATCGAACGCCTGATTGTGTATCAAGCGTCGTACAAAACAATTATTCGTTTCGAAGCTCGCGATCACAAAAAAAGAAAACTGTTTGTTCGATATCGACACCAATGTCTTTTGTCGCAAGAAAAAACAATGTCCTATTTGAAAGTCACGATCGCGAATCGTACAATAACAAATTTGTCCTCTTGTAGACGACCGTTATAATTTATCGAAAACGCGCACATATGATTTAACGCGATTCAATAATTGTCTTAAATTATCTTGTTCACGATCACTTCTCACAACAAAAATTAACTCACAAGATTAACGCAGGATTACAATCGCTCGACGACAATAATGCAAGCAATCCTGGCCAAATCTTTGAGTCGCTAGCCGCTTGCACGTGCACACCGCGTGAAAGATTTTGGAAATCGAAAACACTGTGACGACACTCCTGAGAGAGGGAGAAAGGGAGAGAGAGAGAATGCACGACATGCATTCATCGGCAAGTGATTATCACACAGAATCCTCCAGAAGGATTCGAATATTCGCTGGAGTCGATCACGTGTACGCAGCGTGCACAATACAACGGCGAATTCGTCGCGACGGCGTGCTACGACAATTGTGAGAGAGAGCGTGGGAGAGAGAGAGAGAGAAAGAGAGAGAGAGAGAGAATGCACGACATGCATTCACCTGTACGCGAATATCGCAATAAATCCTCCAGCACGATCCGAATACTCGTAATGTTCGATCACGTGCACGTAGCGTGCACGAGACAATGGCGAATTCGTCGCGAGAACGTGTATGTTGCGTCGCGAACGAGATCCGATTACCCGTTAACTTTTCACTCTCGATATGTCACAAAATACCGCGCAAATCTGTTCGTATTTGTCGCGATAATACATTCACGCACTTATTACACCGTAACGCGAATTCTTTAGTCTGACTTGCGACCAAAGCCGGCTCTCTCTCCACGACGACTGTCTCCGACGGAATGCTGCCCTCATCGATCACGCTATCGATCGCGTGATCGCGAGGGGTACACGCGGAATGCGCTAATTGGCCGAAAATTTGCTTCCGCGGCGCTTCCCGCGGTGCGTGCCGCGAGGTGCTGCCGTGTTAGGCCCGCGGCAATTGCCTTTACCTAAATTCTCGACTGATCCGTGAATTTTCGTTTGATCGAGCGCGGCGAATTTTTCTCAATCCTAAACAGGGATAATATAGCTTCAAGTATAGGAACAATAAGATAGGGTAAGAATCCGCCGCGCTGCACCAATAGTTTTCTCTTAATTTTCAAATTACCTTTTTTTCGCAGCAATACGCCGTAGGATCAATTTATGTCTAGCAAGGCGTTTCTTTTCACTACTTGCAAGCAGTACGTTATCTTTAAGAGTATTGAAAACGCACTCTTGAATACACTTTATGAGATTATTATCGACGGTGCGTAAAAACGCTGTTCTTTGATTTTTTCAGATAACATAAAGTTTTCAAAAGACTCGTGTTTTTTTCGCCGATAGATCGTCTAGCGATTTTTACCTCCCCGACGGATGAATTCTTCGACGACGATGATGCCGGTTGCGATTTTTTTTTTTTTTTTAATTATCGCAGTGTAATTGCACGAGTGACAAGTCGTGTGTGAATACGAGTCTTTTATACGCCTCCTCCTCTTTTGATCGATCTACGAGGAATGTACGCGTAATGCAGCTTATTATTGGAAAGATACACGTCCGAAATCGATATTCATCTGGAGTCGATTGTTTTAAATCGAGCAATAAATACTCGTGAGGCTACGAGGTAGCGTCGTAGTACGCTTCTTCCATAAACTTAGAATCGTCCGGATATACTTGACGCGCTAAATGCCGAATTTGCGCGCGATCGCGTGAATTTTCGAAAACTACTATGTAATTCGCATTGAGAGATATGTCGCATTGTCCGCGTCCCTGATGGAAGAGATTTTGCGAAATGAGAATAACTCTGAGATTCTTATGATGACTTCCTTTAGTAAACAGATCTACGATAACATCGCACGATGATGACTCTCTCATAAGATCGTCGATTATCACTAATTTCGGGGAGAGTGGATCGTAAGAATAATCTTTCAGGCGCGGTAAATCCTCGTGAAATTTGATTATATTTTTTTCGAGTTTATTGGAACGTTATTTGCATATACGTTCTTTTTTCTTACGCTACTCTTCTCTTCTCTTTTATTTTCATTGCATTGCAGACGTTGATAGGCATCTTGCTACTCGGCGTAATAAAATAAAATTCTCTCGAATCGAACATCGGACACGTCGGACAAATAACGAAGAAATGTTTTCACGAAAATCGTTTTTCTACATCCCGTAGGCCCGCAGACGATCGACGTCCAAGGATGTTTCCAGCGCACATCCATTTCCCAAAATGAACGCGATATTCACCGTTTACGTACAATCTCGTAAATGAAAAAGTCTAATCCGGGACGTTCTTAAAAACAAAAATTAGCGTAAAGAGCGCCCGCGTATTTAAATTTTAATATTACTCATAGTATGAAATGAGTACGGCGGAAAAAGCTTATTCGCACTCCGGGGGCCAACCCGCGGCGGTCGCATGCTCGTGCTAGCGTACATCGAATAGTGTTGATCAGCTGATGAGCGCCTGGTTAGCTCACAACTACCGATCAGCTGATGAGCGCCTAGTTAGCGCACCGCTAC